AAAAAAAAAAAAAAAAAAAAAAATAAAGAGTTGAATGAGGAGGCCACTTCATAGTTTTCTTAGTTCTAAGTTCACAGTGAGGAATTCCTAGAAAGGACAGTCTTAAAATCCCCAAAGCTTTTTGTTTCAGCAGGAATCGCAGCGAAAAAAATAAACCATTTGACTCACATGCTCTTCAATTGTCCCCTCAACTCTAAACCATTTTCATAGAATAGCCAGATGAGACCTTACACCAGGAGGCCTATGCACGGACTCAGAGAAATTCCAAAAGTTCAACCCTGGGATTGGGGTCAGGAAATAGCTCCAATCCAGAGGCCATGAGGAAGCTAGGGTAACTTCCACACACTCCATTCAAGGGAACAAAAGCTTCTCTTTGCCCTCTTCTTTCACTAGACACCTGAAAGCAGTTTACCTCTCAAAAAAATTACACTTCCGTAAACACATTACATAGAAATAGATGTCCTCTTCCTAATTAGTGGCTTAGGAGTTTAGACCTCAAGAAGCATCCATGGGCATAAACCTCACAATTACGCAGACCAACATTGTCAAATAGCACCAACACTGCGTAATTGGTTGTTTGTGTACACATGGATAATAGAGACTATGAGCAACTTGAGGTGAGGCCTTGTTAACCTCTTGTGTTGTATTAACCACTTTATCTCCTGTGTCTAACACAGTGACTGGCACAAAGTAGGAGTTTAATAAACAGCTGTTGAATAAGCACATTTCTAAGCTAATACTTCCTTTTTAGGTTTAATTCAGTCACAGAAAGCTATTATTTGAGCACCTGCTGTATACCAGATACTATACAAAGCTGTGAGGAGACACACATGAGTCTAAGTTCCTCAGAACTTAGAGTCTAATTGAAATTGGTGAAGTAAATTCTACTGCTGACGATTGGCACTATTATGGTAATCTTGGGGATGGACAACACTACTGCTGAGCCTCAAGTCCCTCACATTCAATTTCATGTTGGAGAAAATGGGACCTACTCTATAAGCTTATTTAGTTCTAGAAGTATTGTAAAGGGTATGAAATATGTAAAGCATTATGTAAATTAACTTAAGTTTTAAGATTATAACATTATTTTTTAATTTGCATATGGCCCAAAATGGATGTTCTCCCCAGTTCAAAAGCAATTCATCTTCTCAAATGGATACAGGCATATCATTATGTAAACCACACAAAGAATCCAATGTCTCTGGCACTGTTATATTATTAAGCCAGATCAAACAAACAAACAAACAAAAAAGCCAGATCTCTATTGTATAACGTAACTTCCTTGAGAGCACAATATTTTACATTTGGTACCCTCTATAGGATCTAGTACTTTTCCAAAAAAAATAGCATTTGGAAGTGAATTAATGCAATGGAAACAATTTAAGAATCAGCAAGGATTCTATATTGAATGGTGAATGGCATTTAGAGATTCAAGAACCCTGTTAAATTATATGCAAAACTGTGCGTAGGCCATATATAGAGTTCTTTAGATTTACCAGAGTCTCGGGGCACCTGGGTGGTTCAGTCAGTTGAGTGTCCGACTTTGGCTCAGGTCATGATCTCGTGGTCTGTGAGTTCAAGCCCCACATCAGGCTCTGTGCTGACAACTCAGAGCCTGGAGCCTGTTTCGGATTCTGTGTCTCCCTCTCTCTCTCTGCCCCTCCCCTGTTCATGCTCTGTCTCTGTCTCAAAAATAAATAAAACATTAAAAAAAAAAAAAAGATTTACCAGAGTCTCAGAGAGATCTATTATCCAAAATGGTTCCTTCACTCAGTATATATTAATTGAATATCAACTACTTGCCAGGCACTGCATTTTGGCTTAGGCTTAGAATCTGAAACTTTTTAATAAATAATGAATATTGATTACAACAAGTCTTTACAAGATCTGCTTTCTTATAGTCACACCACTAAAAATAATGCATACTCTATCAAATATATCTACATCCTATACCAAGATGAGATACTACACATTTAATATATTTTCTGATAAAATATATATGCATATATATACACATACACACTGATATAATCTAAGAAAGTTTTAGTGAATCGTGTTACTCAAACTGTTTAACCTATTTCTAACTCATCAACTATCCTTTACCACAGCTGGGTTTTCATTTATTCCTAACACCAACAATGAAGCTACTGTCCGTAAAAAAAAAAAAAAAAATGATGACATATAAAGAAAACTTCATAAAATTGTTTTATAAGTAGTTTTCTCAGGGACATTCCACCTACTAAAATAAATAGCTTTTGTATGCTCCAGATGGAGAACAAAAAGTGTTATTAAAATCTCAAAGAATCCTCTAAAATTTAATAATATTTCCCCTTTGGAAATTTTATATCTCGCCTCAGTACATTAAGCATCATCTACCTACCATCAGTCAATATTTATCTGAGCAGCTATTTAAATTATCTGAATAAGAATATTTTTACCTTTGAGAATGGCTGCCATATTGTCACCAACATATGGAAAGGAGTATTTCTCCAGATTTAAAAAAAAAAAAGATTAAAATCCTCACCCACAGCAGATGTTCACTTTATAACTGAAAGTTGTAGCATGATCCAAAATGACCATTTCAAAACAAGGTTAGCTTATCTTCTCAGGAAACCATTTGTTTCTAACTTTTACACTTTACCAGAACTTAGATGCAATTAGTGATAGTGGCCAGGAGATGGTGCAGTCGCATTTCCTAAAATTTAGTTCACAGGCTTTGTGTGATTTACAAAGTTCGCTTTAAAGAGAAATGTTTTTATTAATGGCACTTATTATCACAAATGGCACAAATGAATGAAAATAAAACATACAGAAAAAAAATAAGGAATTTAAATTTCTCAAAAGTTTTACTTATTACTAACCACTTAAATGTGAATAAAATTCTTTAAAATACTTTAAATAAGTTTTTTCTCTCCTGTGTACAAGGAACAGAAGGGAAGAAAAAGTTCAAAGTAATAGTTATTTGGAATTACCTCAACTTTTCAATTCTTCCTGTTAGTTCATTTTATATACTGGGTTACTTTAACCCTTATAAACATTTTACAACTATAAACTCCATTTTTCAATAAAATAAAAACAAGTATAGTTTTAAAACAGGAATTCTTACAACTGATATTTTAGGGAGAAAATTCATTAAAGTAAAAATATTTCCTGAAATGGCTTTATTCAAGGCACGTATAATGTTTAAATGCTTCTTTCACTTAATAAATGCTAAAGAAAAGTCTTTAGATCTCAAATCTATCATATTGGTTGTAAAAAGAAATATAAGGCCTAGTCATCCACTCACATACATAACGTACACATTAATAGCTGTGGATGTGAGGGTTGTGTTGCATGCTTCTAGAAATGTTCCAGAAAGAGAGAATAGGCAGAAATATTACAGATTGTCCTGATTTGGCCTGGAATACAATCTGCCACCAGTTATGGAGTCTTTGCTAGGAAGGTAGGAAGAATCCCTAATCATTCCTGAAAATGCATAATCCAAAGCTGGCCGAAAAGGCAGTGCTGGTACCAACCCCGGAGTTAGGTAAGGAGACATAAAACCAGATAGCCCTCTTCCTGGAGAGGAATATGCCAGCCGTAACGGATTGATACCTAGTCTGGGGTTTAAGCTGTAGAGATGTGAATCACCTCCATAAGAGGCAGACGTAGTCTGAAGAGGAGAGAAAGCGGATTTATTCCCTAGAGTTCCAAAACCAATTCCACCTAAACTAAAATTTGAAGCTCTCTGAAAAGCTGTATTTGCCAATTCTCCTGAGCTTGCTAGGTCCCTGGTGTCTGGTCTGTGCTCCTTCCCATTTAGGACCTGTTCAATGGCTTGGACCACATCCCCTTTGCAGAACCGCAGAATGCCTTCTAGTCGGCTACGCCTATAACTTGGGAAAATCCTGGTAAGGATATCAAGAGGGTCTCTTGGTCTTGAGGACAGTGTGGGAAGGCTGGCTCTGGTAGCAGTGAAGTCTTTGGCCCACTCACTTTCATTTCCTGATTCCAAATCAGATGATGACAGGGACCTGGGACTCTCTTCCCCTCCTGATAACTCCCCAGGGTGAGGAGGCTGAATGCTATCATCCTTGATTGAGTTTTCTGAAATAGACGGCCTGATGTTTTGTTTTCCAATGACACCATTAGGCTTAGGAGAGGATCCCAGAGTACGTTGATGGGATTTGGAGACTGGCTCTTCTTGTCCACTCTGGCATGATTCGTATTTACTCTCTTTTAGTTCTGGGGAGAGAGAAAAAAAAAAAAAAAGGAATCAAATAAAGGAAAATTTCCCCAAAAATAGTACTACCTACTCAAAAATAATGCTGGATAAGATAATTCATTTACTCATAGCATATTAGTAATATTTATTTACTGCAAGAAATTTTAATGAACAAGAAGTTTAAAAAGTCATTCAGAAATGCAGTTATTGGAACAATGGGGAAATGCTATTTATTATGTCATTTCAGAGTCACAAAATTATATATTCAAATGCTGTAGTTAATTTAGGGATCAGAAGATACAAGTCTATTATTACCCCAACTATTAGCATAAGATCAATATCTCACAGTATTTGCACTACTTGGTGATTGTCACCCAACTTTCATTGTTATCCCAGTGAGCTATTTTTTCAAAATGACACTATGCAAAAAAGAACTAAATAAAATGATTGTTTAGATAAGAAAACAAAGGAAAGAACAATCTCACTATGACAATGAATATTTAATACCTAATACTAAATTTCAACAATATTTTTTTAATGCTCACATTTCAGGTTTCAATTAAGTTACCCGAATAATGTGAAAAACAACAAAATTCTTCATTTCACTTCAAATCTAAACCAATAATGAGCACTGCTGTACCAATCTGAAATCATACCAGAGTGCACGTATTTCATTTTATAGGAGAGATAATAGACACCTGGTATTTTTTAATGCTCTGAAATGTGGACTTTCTTTTTCAATCCCTAGGAAATATTTTTTAAGTGTACAGTCAAATTGTTTCTAATTTTTTTTAAGTTTATTTATTTTTGAGAGAGATAAAGACCAAGTGCGAGCGAGGGAGGGGCAGAGAGAGAGAGGGAGACACAGAATCGGAAGCAGGCTCCAGGCTCTGAGCCATCAGCACAGAGCCCGACACGGGGCTCGAACTCACGAACCGTGAGATCATGACCTGAGCAAAAGTCGGACGCTCAACCTACTGAGCCACCCAGGTGCCCCCAATCAAATTGTTTCTAAAAGAAAATTATAAACTGCACTATTGCACTATTGTAATCTGTACATATCTTCAAAGTGTCAATATATTAGTTATTTGCTTCAAATCACAACTCCCTTCCAACATTAAGGTAAGTTTTCTAAAAATATTTTTATATAAAAATCTGATTTTATGCCTCAACATGTTGAACATATTAATATTAATAACAGTAATATTTTAATGCCCTTTTATATAGCTTATGCCAGGAAAATAATAATAATGTATACATTCACTAAACAACTTTTAATTTGGTTTACATTTCCTCTTATCTTATACTTGATCTCTATTTCCATTAGAAAGAGTAAACTGTCAAGTAGGGTACTCAGAGTCTATGACTCACTAAATATGCCCTCCGAACATGTAAGGTGTCAAAATTTCATATCTACAGCAATTTATGCACAAAATAATTTTTGTTAGTATGCTGCCCTCACAGAGTACAAAATAATGTAATAAAATACTGATTGCATAAGACTATCCAGAAAATAAGATATCTTTAAGATATGTGATACCATTTACATCATCTCTCTGTTCTCTCAACTCCTATACCTGGTTTTACCTCTTTACTTTTATCATTTTATAGTTTGTCTTGTATTGTAGGTTTGGGGTATATATAGTCTTCCTTCTTTTGTATGTAAGTTTTTTGTGTGTAGGAAAATCTTATTCACCTCTGAATCACTTATTGGTTTTTGTCTAATGAGTAAATTAAATAGAATATTGCAGTTTATGGATATTGGATAACATGAGGCAGTCAGTTTAGAATGGCTTATAGGGATGGCTTTTCAAAAGAGGAGGTCAACTGAGGCAAAGAATAAAATAAAATACTTGACCCTAGAAAACAGAACACTTTGCTCTCTCGCCCCCAAAAAACATATAAATCAATGTCTAGCAGAGATTTAGCAGCCAGATATCATTGTTCATTTAGTTTACAGAATTTTAACTTTTACTTTTTTTATAGCAGTTACTATGTGTTTAATGAGTTTGTTTTTGGCACTCTGATTTTTCATAAGAAATAGTCTATTTAGTCCACTGAAATAAACTAGAATATGGGCAAAACACTGGCATAGGTGAACACAAAATCAAATATGCCATATTTAAATACAGAGATAGTCTTTTTCAAAAGTACATCCTGTGATCCAAGATCTGCAATATTCACAATTCAAGGAAGTTTTCCAATTAACAATTTACTTTTCATTATCACAGAATTTCATATGACACAACTTGTCTTGAATATATACAAAAATACCGAAATGACATTTTCACTGCTTAGTGTTAGGGCTGGGAAATTCACTAAAATACAGTGAGATTTACATCAGCAGGAAAACTTTAACTCTAATTTAAAAAATACAGATATCTTTTTTTACCTAATGCAGAGGATGTAGGTGTTTTGCAGTCAATAAATAAGAGAAAAAATTAAAACTCCTTGGAAAAGCAATTCCTAATATTGGACTTCTCCCTAATGGTTTCCCAAATCTGGGAAACTTAAATTTCTCTCCTGTAGGAAAGAGTTGAAACTTCAAATATTACAGCTAGAATTTCTACACTTTTGGAGGCTGACAAACAGTTGGAGGAGGTGATTAAAATTTTTAAGGTAAGGGAAGAAGGTTAAAAGGGGTTTGGTAGATTTCTCCACTTCTAGCTGGAACCAAAGCTTTGCCCCAGAGATGAGGAACTGTATTCCCAACAATCAGTGAATTTCCCAGCACCACTGGAAGATTAACTCTGGTTTTAAAACTGAAAGGAGTATAGAGCACCACGCTTTCACCCCATGCCCGCTTAAAGTTCTAACTCACGCAAAGTTAAGAGCAACTTGGGTGCAAACTCCATTCCCAGCATGAGTTGCTCATCTAATCACTCAAGCTTCCCTTTTACAGGATCTTCTCCAATCCGCTAAGAGTACAAAACGCCCTTCCAAGGTGATGCGTCTCTAGCACCCTCATTAACGTTTATATTACAGTGCAGTTTCCGAGAACTTAAATGAATGCTTCTTTTAAACAACTTTTCTCGCCCACCACGGAGGCATGGCTACTTCTTTCCAAGCGCTTTTCTCCAAAACAACCATTTTTCTTTGCAAAGAGTAGATGGAAAGACCAACTCACCTTGGTTTTCCTCCATATCATCTGGCTGGACAACTTGGAAAGCAGGGGTCGCCAGATCAGTGTGTCTCAGGGCACCCAGTCCCAGCGTCGTCACCGCCACACGGCCGCTCGAGGCCTGGGAATTCTCCGTTCGGCTACCGCCTCCGGGTGTCCGACCCCCGGGCCCGCAGGGCCCCGGGTACAGGAACCTCTGCAGCCCCCGGGCCTCGCTCTCCTCCTGGGCCTGCTGCCGGCGCAGCGCCACCTGGGCGGCCATGACGCGCTGGCGCTCGGCTATCAGGGTGCACTTGGCACACGCGCAGTCCCGCCAGCGGCAGAAGCGTTTGTGGCCCTTGAGTGCCGACACGACGCCGTGGTTGCGACAACGGGCGCACTTGGGTGTCCGCGGATAGCCGCAGCCCACGGCGCCCACCCCTCTCTCCAGTCCGGGAGCCGGCGCGCAGCCCCCGCTTCCCGCGGCGGCTGCGGCTGCCCGCAGAAAGAGGCTGGGCGGCCGCAGGAAAGTTGGAGGAACCGGTATCCCCGGGGGCACTGGCAACGCCGGAGACGGGGGCGGAGGGGCGGCCGCCACCAGCCCCGGGGCCAGGTGGGGTCGGCCGCTGCCGCTGCGGTCTCTGCTGCCACACTGTGACTGCTCCATTCTTGAGAAGTGCCTGGCGAGCAAAGTGCGCCGTCCACAGCCAACCCTGCCCGGCAGCGGGGTGCGGCAGGACCGGCCGCGGTCCCGCTGCCTCCCACCCACACACAGGCAAAGTTTGACGCAACTCCGGCCGGGGGCTGGGGACGCTAAGAGGCGCAGATGCCCAGTAAGCCTCTTAAGAGTCCCGGGGCGCTAAGTTAATGCCCCTGTGCTCCGCGCGCCCTCTGCGCGGGAGAAAGCAGGGCGGGAGACGCTTCCCCGCCCACCAGGTCGCCAGGCCGAGCGCTGAAGCCCTGGGAGGGAGGGCCGGGCGGAGAGTGGGGGCTGCCTGGGAGGAGGGACAGTGGGCGACGCAAGAAACTGTCCCGAAGGGCTGCAAAGGTGCCTTCCCCAGAGGAGCCCTTTTCTCCCACTTGCCTCCCCACCAATTGCTCAGCGTAGATTTTTATGACACCACCTTCCAGCCCTCTGCCATGCCTCTTTCTGCCCTTCTTAAATTTAAGCAAGGTTGAAGTTCTCCTTTCCTCAGTCCCACGCTTCTCCAAAGCAAGTTTGAGGATTTGGATGTGGACTTGTCTTTTCTTTTCCTTTCTAGGTGAAGTTTTCAGGATAGTAGTATGGCCAATGTTAGGGAGAAAACAGAGCTTGACAGATGGCAAATATTACCCACCTGAAAGATGCCTTATTTTAATTTTTTTAGTGTTGTTTTGTTTTGTTTTTGTTTTTTTGAGAGAGAGAGACAGACAGAGCACAAGCAGGGGAGGGGCAGAGAGGGAGGGAGACATAGAATCTAAACAGGTTCCAGGCTCTGAGTGGTCAGCACAGAACCGATGCAGGGCTTGAACCCATAAACCGTGAGATCATCACCCGAGCGGAAGTCCGATGCTTAACCCACTGCGCCACCCAGGTGCCCCAAAGATGCCTTATTTTAAACGGGTCTTACTTAGGACTGCATCAAAATAATGCATAAATAATGAAGGGAATCCACTAACATTCGGATTCTTCTCATTCATTTTATTTACAAATGCAAATCTGGATTACTCGTGTTACACGTGCTGCTGCCCAAAGAAGTCTATACATTTCTTATGTGGAACTCGTTATAGGCAGCAACTGTGTTAAAGCCGCTTCAAAAATACTTCACATTTCTATTGTAAAGTATGGGGAAAGGTCATTTAGCATTTAAATATGCTATCATAATAAGGACTCTTAAAATATGCATTTATTAAATGCAGGAAAAGATCATACTGCTTTTAAACTGAAAGAGCATCTGAAGCAGAACATTCATGAGTGTTTGTTCTTAATAGAAAGGAGAGTCAGGGCTCTGTCAGTTCTTCAAAATAATATTCAGCTACCTTGACAGGCAATTCATACTCTAGCCCTAAGATGGCAAGTAACAATGACATTTTTAGCATCACAACCACTGACATCCAGGGCAGACACTGCTAATCAATCTGGGCTTTCTCCTGCCTGCCCACTTAATACCATCACCACCATCAACATCCTCCCATATTAATATCCTAACATTCTATCACAGAGATTTTCCACCCTTCCTAAGCACTGGAACTACCTAGGTAACTTTTAAAAGATATAGATGCTCCAATCCAAATATTCTGATTCTTTTGGCCTGAGTCTTCTAAACTCTCGAGGCGATGATTATATACAACCAAGGCTTAAAACTACCACTCTAAGAATTTCTAACCTTGCAGATTCTATACTCCTCAAATTTTCTCATAATCCTAGATCTTTGCTCAAGCCACTCCTATCTAATAGCTAGTTATTCCCTAACTATGGAACTCATATCCAACATTAGAGAAATGAGTTTTTAGTGCTACATGGGTCATTAAAATTCCCTTTTCCTATTATTTGTAGGACTTGGGTACATAAAGGAAAAGGATCAGCTTGGTGTAAGTACGTCTTTAGAATCTTTAAAGACTTGTTAATTATGCTTTTTAACAAAAAAAATTTAAGAGCCTCAGCAAGTACCAGTGTTTACCTGAAATCTAACACTATTTTTCTGTTTATTTGATTATCAAAGTTACCTTCCAATCATGGCAAGTGATATTGGTTTTCATCCAAGGAAGTGAAAACAATTTTTAAGTAAATGTATTTAAATAAAATGCATTTATTTAAATGATAAATAATCAGTGTGTGAAAGACTGAAAATTAATAAACTTTGGTGTCAAAAATTAAAGACCTAAATAAATGGAGAGATCTACCACGTCCATGGGGCAGAAGACTCAATATTGTTAAGAAGACAATTCTACCTAAATTATCTATAGATCAGTTCGATTTCAGTTAAAATTCCGCAGACTTTTTTTGGTAGAAATTGTCAAACGCATTCTAAGATCCGCATGGAAATGCAAAAGAAGGACCTAGAATAGCCACGGATAAAGTTGCAAGGCTAAAAATACCTTTTTCAAAACTTATTACGAAGTTACAGTAGTCAAAACAGTGTGTAGCATTGGTGAAAAGATAGAAAAATCAACCAATGTGACAAAATAGATTTTAGAAATAGATGCACCCATACTTAGACAACTGATTTTATACAAAGGTACAAAGACAATCTGGTGGATGGAAAACAGATTGTTTTCTCCAAACAAATTTTGCTGAAACGATTGGACATCCATATGCAGCTGGAAAGAGGTTGTACAGGGGCAGTGAAAGATGAGTAGGAGGGACTACAAGGGATCAAAGGAAACTTTTGGAGATGACGAATACATTTAATTATTTTAATTGTGATAATGATTTTGTGTGTATACGTATGTCAAAATTTACCAAACTGTGTACATTATATATTTGCAGTTTATTATTTGGCAGCTATACTATGATAAGGTCGTTATCAAAAATAAAACCCCGTTACCTCTGGGGAAAAAAAGGCATAGAATAATGTGAAAGTATTTTGAACAAAGATAATCCTAAACTTAGCACCCAAAGTCAGAGCAATGATTTTAAACACTTGTATTTCTTCTTAAACACACTGGAAAACTTGAATCTCTCCCCTTAACAGTATGACACATTCTCTCTTTTTCTCAAATTATGTATACTTTTTTTCTTTTTACTCTCACGGCAATTGAGTACTGTGACTGTTCTCATAAGTCACTGAGAAGATGTTAACAGCTGCAATTTAACAGTGGCAAGTTTCATCAAATGAAAAGGTGATAAGAAGAAACATGTTTTTAATTAAACTGTGTCCAAGTATCACAAATATGTCATGTACAAATTTTTTCAAAATAAAGTAAGAAAGGAAAAAAAAAAAAAAAAACAGACCGGTCTGATAAATGGGAAATGTAAGGCATATCAGAAGGAAGAAAGGGAATAAATAGAATCTCTCCCAAGTTCAAAGACATTAATGTACCTTTTTAAATGATTCATTTCTACTTGAATTCCTCGTCCACCCTAAACGCTTACAGTTAACTGCCATGTTTTGTTGGTTCCCAGAACCAACCAATCAGCACAGAGGAGTTGGAAGCGTGAAGCAGCAATTGCAAACACAGGCCTGGATCTCAACTAAGCTAGGACAGCTTGAATTGGAGAGTTACACTCTCAGCTTTACTTTCCTCACTGACAACTGAAAACATTAAGTCATCTTCAAGGATACTTCCAAGTCTGTGGTTCATTTCATTTGCCAACCCTAGTCTGAAATTACATTTCATTAATGTTCTTAATCTCCAAAGGACCACATTATTACCCTTCTAAGGCCTCTGTCAAAGCATCTCTCTTGAGGGAAAATAGCCTGGACTAACCTGCTGGTAAAGGATAAAATTAAAATATATATACTTAGCTTGGCTGGAAGCTTTTGGCAAGAGAACTGGGGATTTGGAAGGAAAGGCTCAAAATTGTCTCTCCTTTCACGGATAAACATGTACAATTCACTCCATGGCTTCAGAACATATGTAAGCAAACCTTGTATAGTCTATCTACTCCCAAGGCTTTCCAGAGCCACACTATGTATGCTAATGTCACGTTCTGCCAGTTTTGAGGGGTTTGAACTACACATCTCTTTGCCTGAGGTTCTTCAAAAAGTAATTGAGCGTTAATCATGATTGAGAGACCACAGTCTGCAGACTGACAAAAATTTTAGCCATTGGACTATGGTTCATCAAATGGTTAGGCATCCCAGGTCTGGGAAGAAATGGGCCTCCTCTGGGACACAGCCTTTCCTGGAGTATTGTTGGGGTAAGAAAAAACATATTTGGTGATGTATATATAATTGGCCAAGAGATACCACTCTCCAAAACCCAGTATCTATTGGTAAATGCTCCCTCCTTAAACTACCCTGAAGCTGAGGAGAGATAATTCATCATACCAGAGCTGTAACTAACCACAGCATTGTGCATTTTAGGAAACAGAACTTCATCAAAGGACATCATCTCTGATCCCTTGCTCTGGGATGGCAAGAAGCCAGCTGGAGACCACATATATTATTCCTGCACCTACCCCATCAAGGGGACACCGATTACAAAATAGAGTAAAATGTGTTTTCCTTTGTTGCTTTATGAGCTCTTTCCATACAAGTTGAAGACACTTACCTGGTATCATAAGAAACTAACAAAGACAGGGAATGGAGAAGTACCATTTTTTTTTCCGTATCCATTTCTAAATGCCCAGCACATAGTAAACACTCAATACCTCTTTGAAAATAAATAAAGAATGGATGCTACAGGATTTACTTGTCAGTTGGCTGAATAAGCACTAATATCACATTACTTTTCCTTTGTATTCTGAAATTCTTGAGAAGTAATTTCCAGTCCACTAGAAATTAATCTTTTCCAGGTTTACCTCTGTGGGGCTTATATAAGCTGGAGTGTGATTTCTTTTTAAGTATGGTTTATTGTTTACTTTGTCTTCTGTACTTTTGTTTAACATCAAATAAGGTACTTTATGACAACTTTTTTAAAAAAAGAAGAGGTCTTGTGAAACTCTACAGTTATGCTTTTAATGCCACTGTACTGTATTCAGTACTTCTCAGTATGTTTAGATCTAAGTACATATTGTTGCTT